ATTGATTTTTAATGTGTGATCAATAACTCTTATCATCATTGGAAAAAAGAACAATTAATAAACAAAAGAACAACAACATGGTAAATTTGCCTCTTTATTTAAAACAAACAAACAAATTAGATAAAGCTTTAAAATAAAACATTTCTTTAAAAGTTAAAGCAAAAATAAAACGTTACATAAAATATTTGGCGCAGCTACGAAAGGATTAAAATATAAATAAAAAAAGGCTTCGACGAAAGAAAAAGTAAGTACAATGGCAGTAAATGTAAACAAATTAGAGAAATTTAGCGGTGATAAAGGTTCAATTCGGCCTGAATCATGGCTTAAACTATATGAATTGGAAACTGGTAAACTAGATGAAGTCGATAGAATCAATAATCTAATTTATTATTTATCAAAAGATGCTTTAGAATGGTTTGCTGATGAAATATTGAGCAAATCATCCATTAAAAAATGGGATACTGTTAAACTCAAATTAATTCAGCGCTTTGGTTATAAAGTTGAAAGCCCTATAGTTGCAGCATCAAAAAGAAGACTTAAAAAATAAGAAACCGTGGAAGATTATTTTAGAGATAAAATTAGATTATTAAATCAAACAAGCCTCAATAATGTCGAGAAGCTAAAAATGTTAACGGATGGATTGCCATTAGATTGGAAAAATTATCTCGTAACAGCCCAGCCTAAAGATCCATCACATTGGATGCAGATTGCCATGGAGATTGAACAAAACAATAATCAAATAAGGCAACAACAGAGAAGTAAAACCAAGGTTTTTAATATAACTACACCTACAATCTCAAAAAATTGCCCATATTGGTGTCCTATTTGTAAGAAAAAAGGATTTTATTTTAAACATTGGATAAGTGATTGCAAAGATTATGATCCTAATTATAAAGACAAGCTTAAACACCAAGCAACTAATATCACCACAGATGTTAAACAAACCATAGCTGATTCACTTTGCATAGCAAATACCAATTTTCCTTATAGATTTGTTAATGTTGAGGTTTTACTTAATAATATTCCAGTTTCATCTTTTATTGATACCGGGTCAACTATTTCATTAATGAGCTGTTCGCTTTTAAAACAACATAAGTTAAAATTGAATGTAAACGATAGAATCAAAATTAAACAAGTAGATAGTTTTGCATATACTTTAGGATCAGTAGAAGTTTTTTTGAAAATCCATTCTAACCTTGTCGGGTGTAAGCTTCATGTAGTGAAAAACTTTAGCTATCCATTGCTTATTGGACTTGATGTAGCAGGAAAAATTGGATTAATAATTGACACAAAAGACAAAGCGGTGTATGTTACAGGAAATGAATGTTTTTATATATCTCCTGAAACGCATCTTCCATCTGTTCAGCAAAAAGAGCTTAATCAATTACTTAAAGAAAATCAAGCATTGTTCAGCCAGCATGAAACTGACATCGGAAGGATTGCTGTTCAACACAAGATCCATACAATTGAACATCCACCCATCAGTTGTAGACCATATAGAAGACCACTTGCCGAATATGATGAAATAAAAAGACAAGTTGAAGAATTGAGTAAAAAGGGACTAATAAGAGAATCTCAGTCACCTTGGGCCTTCCCCGTAGTGTTGGTCTCTAAAAAGGATGGTTCACAAAGGATGTGCATAGATTACCGAAAACTGAATGCAATTACAATTGATGACAAGCAGCCTCTTCCATACATCCAAGATATGTTTGATCGCTTACATAATGCGAAATACTTCACAACACTTGACATAGCATGGGGCTATTGGCATGTTGAAATGCATCCAGACTCTGTTGAGAAAACTGCTTTCATTACAAATGACGGGCATTATGAATTTTTGGTTATGCCATTTGGCTTGAAAAATGCTCCAAGTACTTTTCAGCGAATAATTCAGCATATTATTGGAAATCGTCTTTGGAACGGTGTTTGTAATTATCAAGATGATATTCTAATTTACAGCAGTACTTTTAAAGATCATATTGAACTCATGAAGAAAATATTTGACAAGCTTAAAGAAAACAATATCAAACTCAAGTTGAAGAAATGCTCCTTTGCAAAACAAGAAATAAGATATTTAGGTCATATCATAGGACATAACAAGATTAAACCTGACCCTGAAAAAAAAAGGCAATAAATGAGTTCCCTCAACCTAAAACAGTGAAGCAAGTAAGGCAGTTTTTGGGTTTAGCAGGTTACTACAGGAAATTTATTCCTAAATTTAGTGAAATTGCAGATCCTTTAACAAGCCTCACAAGAAAAAATAAGTTATTCAAATGGACTACTGAAGTTAACAAATCATTTCAGGAACTAAAGTTTTATTTATCCACAGATCCAGTTCTTTCTACATATGATCCTTCATTACCATGTAAGCTCTATACTGATGCATCTAAACTGGGAATTGGTGCTATTTTAGCTCAAATTGGAAATGATAATCACGAACATGTAATTTCCTATTATTCAGGGAAACTTCTACCACATCAACAGAACTATTCTGCATTTGAGTTGGAATGCTTTGCTGTAGTTCAATCAGTTGAATACTTTGAAGTTTATCTTGAGAACAATACATTTGAAGTCATTACAGATCATTCGGCTTTGGAATGGCTCTTCAACGTAAAGAAACCAAAGGCAAAATATCTCCGATGGATAATTGAATTATCAACCAAGTCAATGAAAATAGTTCACAGATCAGGATCAAAGCAAACGCATGTTGATGCATTGTCAAGATCACCAGTGTCATTTCATATATCAATCCCCACTCTTCGACTACACCAACAAAAAGCGGATCTCAGTTTTGTAAAGAACTCTCATATTAATCGAGATCTTATTATGGTGAAACATAATGGAGTTCTAAAAACAGTTGTTCCAGAATCATTCCAAGAAGAAATTCTCAAATAATACCACTATAATCATTCTCACCTCTCAATTAACAAGACAGTAAGATTGATAACACCATTTTATTGGTGGCGAATGCTATCAGATGCATCAGAGACTATGTTCGCTCATGTAAAATATGTCAAATAACTAAATGCAGTCATAAACCATTTATTGGAGAATATGTTGCACCAAACTCTGATCTGAAACCACTGGAATTAATATCAATGGATACTATTGTGCTAGGCTCTGCAGCAAGTGAAACCAAGCACAAATACATTCAAGTAATAATTGACCACCTAACAAGATTTGTTTGGGCTTTCCCTACTGTCACCAACACTTCTCAAGCAGTAATTCAATGTTTAGACAAAATCAACAAAACTGTTCCCCAAATCAAATGTATTTTAACCGACAACGGAAAGAATTTTACATCAAAAGAATTTAACAAGTTTTTGAATGAGCATCAAGTTCAACACACCTATTCGATGCCATATCATCCGCATAGTAATGGACTGTGTGAAAAGATGAATGACACTATACTCACCAAATTAAGAACAAACCTTCAAGAGAATCCAAGACTAAAATGGTCATCATTACTTGCCAAAATTGTGAAAGATTATAATAGCACACCCCATGATGTCACTGGGTTTTCTCCAAATTTCCTACTTTTTGGTGATTGTGCAATACCAGAATTTTCTGAATCACCACATTTCACTATAGAAAATGCAAGGAAGAAAGCAATAGAAAATATCGCAAAGCATAGAGAAAAGTGGAAAGCACGACACGATGCAAAACATCCGCAGTCGTCATTCAAAGTTGGTGATCTGGTCCTTCGTAAAATAGTTAGTAATGATCCAAGTATGGTCAAAACATCCCCAAAGTATGAGGGTCCTTTTCAAATAACAAGAATAATATCTAGTGTTACGTGTGAATTATTGAGAGATGATTCCTCCTTGGTTAAAGTTCATGTGTCACAATTGAAACCATCTATTTTGCGAAAATAAATCCTTCAAGCCGAGGGATATGACACGTTTCTGAATTTTGTAATTAATTTTGTAATTAGTTCATTGATTTTTAATGTGTGATCAATAACTCTTATCATCATTGGAAAAAAGAACAATTAATAAACAAAAGAACAACAACATGGTAAATTTGCCTCTTTATTTAAAACAAACAAACAAATTAGATAAAGCTTTAAAATGAAACATTTCTTTAAAAGTTAAAGCAAAAATAAAACGTTACAATATAAATAATGAAGATCAATATAATTATTATTTTCTGGCTTCAGTAAATAACGACCATCGTTATTTAAACTTAATATCTAATCTAAATATATTGCATAATCCTATTAAAATTGTCTGAATAAATACATATAGAAAAGGATTAGTACAAGTTAAAATAATTTATTTACGACTACTAAAATAATTTATTTACAACTACCTTATCCACAACAAGAGCATTTGTTTTGAAAGCTTTGGATAGGTTGAAATGGGATGTGAAATTAATATTTATTACTCCATAGGGTCTGTCCAAAATCTGTCCTCCTATTCTGGCTAATTCTACTCTTGTCCTAAAAATTTACAAATTCACTTTCTTCAAACAGTCCCGAGATATTAGTGTGGCTTGACTTGCTGTATCCATTAAAGCTCTACAAGGTTGATATTTACCTTGATGATTCATCACCATAATTGTTGCGGTAGACAATAGTACAAACGAGTCCTATTGGTTAGACATCAAACAGGTGGTGTTATGAATGGAGGTCACGCTCAAAGCATCATTGTTTTCCTTTTCACTTGACTCAGCATGGTTTTTATCTGGTTCTTCAATTGCAGGAATTCCTATTGTATGTTCTTTCAACTGATGAATGGCAGCATCAATGTGTTATGTTTTTCTTGAAATATTCTACACTTGAATTCTGACTTACATTGATTTACTGAATGATTGTTCTTTAAACAATTGCAACATAACTTGAGTTATAAAGTAATACTTAAAGTTGCACCGCATAAGTTTCTTTTCTGTGATAAATCAATATTTATTTCAAAGAGAAATATCTACTATTTCTAACTTTTTTGGATGACGTATGAAAGGGTGAAAATATGAAGAGTAATGGCGAACGGAAAAATAAAAGTGTCCAGGGGCGGGAATCGAACCCACAACCTTCCGCTTACCTTACCGGGCAGATGCCATGTCCACTAGGCTACCCTGGACGTATCTTTCCGTTCGTAACTAATACTTAAAGTAACTTATAATACATTATAAAGGACTGCGGCGTATGATTATATAGACCATCACTCTTCATATTTTCACCCTTTCATACGTCATCCAAAAAAGTTAGAAATAGTAGATATTTCTCTTTGAAATAAATATTGATTTATCACAGAAAAGAAACTTATGCGGTGCAACTTTAAGTATTACTTTATAATCATACGCCGCAGTCCTTTATAATGTATTATAAGTTACTTTAAGTATTAGTTACGAACGGAAAGATACGTCCAGGGTAGCCTAGTGGACATGGCATCTGCCCGGTAAGCGGAAGGTTGTGGGTTCGATTCCCGCCCCTGGACACTTTTATTATTCCGTTCGCCATTACTCTTCATATTTTCACCCTTTCATACGTCATCCAATTATATATAGACCATCACCCTTCATATTTTCACCCTTTCATACGTCATCCAAAAAAGTTAGAAATAGTAGATATTTCTCTTTGAAATAAATATTGATTTATCACAGAAAAGAAACTTATGCGGTGCAACTTTAAATATTACTTTATAATCATACGCCGCAGTCCTTTATAATGTATTATAAGTTACTTTAAGTATTAGTTACGAACGGAAAGATACGTCCAGGGTAGCCTAGTGGACATGGCATCTGCCCGGTAAGCGGAAGGTTGTGGGTTCGATTCCCGCCCCTGGACACTTTTATTTTTCCGTTCACCATTACTCTTCATATTTTCACCCTTTCATACGTCATCCAATTATATATAGACCATCACTCTTCATATTTTCACCCTTTCATACGTCATCCAAAAAAGTTAGAAATGGTAGATGGTAAATATTGATTTATCACAAAAAATAAACTTATGCGGTGCAACTTTAAGTATTACTTTATAATCATACGCCGCAGTCCTTTATAATGTATTATAACTTGAGTTGTTTAACTTTTCTCCTTCTCTCTAATGGCTAAATGCCTAAAAATATTGGGCATTGATAGATTCCATTCTCCTGTTGATATAGAAAACAATTGGCCTTTGTTAGATTGTGTACTTGCAATTTCATGGAGCGTTTAATTAGGGGCAATCCCTTTTCTGTTTCACTCGTATTAAGTGCCTTTGCGGGGTTTTCTAAAAATTTCAATAATTCTGAACAGGAGGGTATGTGATTACTGTAAATTGTCATGTTCCAGCTGCGCTTTGTTGTTTTGTCTACTTACTCGTGTAGTTTATCACTCAGGATTTCTCAATTATGATATCACTAAATTCATCTAGCTTATAACCAAGTGTTTCTAGAGATCTAATGATTTCACATGAATTATCTACCAAAAATAGAAGTTGTGTGGATGATTATATTGTTAGCTTAGGTAGTTCTATTATTCTTTGTATTAGGTTAAATATTAAATATTTTTTGTCATATCTAATTTCGGGTGACGAAATTAATTAATCACAAGTATTTAAAATATTAAAAATTAAATCTTGTTTAAAAAAACAATGAACCAATCATAGCCTTTGTTTACATCGGGCGTCACCGTGACGTCACAACCAATGAGAGGCTTAGTCTCAGATTGGGCCAAATGTCGAGGGTTCACCCGTTTTTTCCAACAAATCCCAAGCCAAAACAAAATTATTTTCTGTTATTGGTATGTGATTAACAAGTATTTAAGCCTTTCCTTTCAGACATGTCTTTAAATACTGTAATATATGCTTGTTCCAACTGCTGTTAAATTTTCTCGATCTTTTTTAATATTGCATCGAGTTCAAAACAATCGGCTGCGATGTTTTCTATTTCCTTTTCCAACTTTTCTAAATTAAGACTTTGTCTTTTGATTCTTCTTATTTCTGTTTCTGCATCCATGAGGTTGACTTACCATATCAGGCTTCTATCCGGCTTGAGGGACCAATGTATGAAAAAGTGAAAGTTGTATAAGCTTACGATTTTGCTTTGTTTTAGAAATGAATCGATGTTGGTTCCATATGCTTTAATTGAATATTGCACCTTAGTTCTATATATTTTATTGCTTAAATGGAAACAAAAAAAAGAAACTACATATAATTGCAAATGATTTGATAACTAACAAAAAAAAACAATAAATAATTTTATAAATGATGATGATAAAAAATTGAATATGTCTGCCAGAAAAATGCTTCTATGAATTAAAAATAAGAATACAGAGGACAGAGAGGTGCTGAAAGCGCAGGCCACTGGCCTGGCTGCGGCCTTGGCCGCTATTTTCCAATCATGGATATAATTAGCTGGATCCAGAGGTAGGTGGGGCTAGATGGATGTTTGTGGACAAGAAAGGCCTTTTTAGTTTAAGTCTATATACTTCAATCTCCTCACTTTCAACCTTTATATGTGTTTTTTAATTTAAATCCTTTTTAAAAATATTATATGTGCACACAATCTTATATACACTGTATAACAAAAAAATCGACGCACCAAGAAGGAGTTGTCAGATTAGGACAAAAATTGGTGTATGTAAAGAGCATGTATAGGGGAAAAACGATTAAAATTTCAGAACAATTAATTGTTTTATTTCAGAGTTTGATCGTCACAAATTGAGAATGTCAATATGTCGTTGGACCCCCACTGGCCTGGATGCAGGCTGTCACCCGGCGAGCCATGGACTGATAAAGATTCCGGATGGTGTGCTGCGGGATTTCTTGCCAAATTGTCTCCAACTGTCGGGCTAAATAGTCAACATTCCGGGATGGTTGCAATCGCCTTCCCATCACGTCCCAGATCTGCTCTATGGACGAGAGATCAGGCGACCTTGCTGGCCACGGAAGAGTTCGGCAAGATTGAAGACAATCCATAGTAACACGTGCCGTGTGTGGCCGGGCAATATTTAGTGCCGGAAATGAAGGACAAAGTTGCCCCGTTTTATCATTAAGTTTTCGTCTTTCCTCAGACAGAGCAGCACAGTCAAATAGGTAGTGCAACATCTCCTTTGTTATTCCTGATCCACAGAAAGTGCATTTCAGATCTTCACGCCTCAATGAAATCAGATAAAAAACAAAGTTAGGCTTAAAACAGTGTTTCCCACACTTCAGAGCTTCCCACAAAAATCCAAATTTAGAGCCCCTAGGGACATCTTTGATTGACACGCTGGGGTAAAGGGGCCACATCTGTAGAGGGATGGAAATAGATGGACGTGAAAAACAACAGATGTGAACACTCTAGGCGGGAATTTCTGAGAGCCAATAAAATCAGTCGATACTGGGTCTCCAAACCGACAAGGTGAGTCGCTCTTAGGCTCCTACAGGCCTTGTGCTTTGTGAAGAGATGCCTTTTTCTTCATCTTCAACTTTTATTTTCTTATATAGTCAGCAATAACTCGATAAAGTTACTAAATTATATGATATATTATATTAATTTCAATTTTATTTCAGCTATGTCGATGCTAGAAAGGACGCATACATGCAACATACAAAAACTTTGTAAAAAGTTTAACTTATATTTTATTTTCGTAATCTTATTATTAAACCCATCCAATCAATATAATATTTACCTTAATTTTCCTTTAGTATTTTTTTTCTTTAGTACAAATTGGTAAACGTAACCAGTTATATTAAATTTTTTTCTATTTTTTTGCTTGGCGTAATCAGTAAAGGTTTTATTTATCACACTTAATGGAAGTAATTTTTTTTCCGGCCATTTGTAATACTTGTTGGTAATCAAATTGTTATTTGGCATGTAGCCCACATACTGCGTTTTATAACTTATTGGTTTATCAAGAAGCCTTCGCCTTTCTAAAATAGATCTGATTTTATATTTTTTGGAATACATTATACTTAATAAAATATTCCATAGTCATGCCCATTCTAATCATTAAGCGATACAGCAATATTTATTTATTCATATTTGCTAACTTTTAATGAGTATGCATTATTTTAATTTAACTTCCTACGTATTTAGACATGCATATTTATTTTTTTTGGTAAATATTGTACGGATATGATATGCCTAGGGACAACCTTCATATTTAGTCCATTCTCTTAGTTATAAAAGGCAGAATGTCTTCATAAATAACAATTTAAATTTTGATAAGCTATTGAATATTATACGTGTAATTCGCTTATCATCTTTAAGATTATTCTTTTATTTTTTATATATTCCAGTAACCCATATCGCGATTTATCTCTTACTTATTCATCTATTTATCACAAATGTTTGCGTAACATGGTTCCAAGATAATCCCGATTTCAACCCCACTTTCTCCTAGATATTTAGAAGTCGTAATCTAACTCATACCCAAAATATTTTGTCTTCACCACTTGCAATCCACATATATATATATATTCCATGAGATCCACACGGGATCTAATGGAATCCTCACAATCTACCAAAGAGGTGTTTTGCTGGCAATGTGGCTGGGCCAAATCTATTGGCAAAACATAGATGGAAAATTTGCCGGGAGGAAATTAATCCATGGAAGCAATGGTCGCCTCTCCCGTCAAAATAAACGTCATAATCCGACGCCATCTATTGACCGTCGCCGCAACTAGCGGCATCGGGTCGGTGACAAAGCCATAACACCAACTTTGGCAAGCTGATAAGCGTCCACCTAGAGACCATGGTTTCGGGCTGATGGCCCTCGTCAGTCTAGGGCGGACTTTATTCCATGAGATCCACACGGGATCTAATGGAATCCTCACAATCTACCAAAGAGGTGTTTTGCTGGCAATGTGGCTGGGCCAAATCTATTGGCAAAACATAGATGGAAAATTTGCCGGGAGGAAATTAATCCATGGAAGCAATGGTCGCCTCTCCCGTCAAAATAAACGTCATAATCCGACGCCATCTATTGACCGTCGCCGCAACTAGCGGCATCGGGTCGGTGACAAAGCCATAACACCAACTTTGGCAAGCTGATAAGCGTCCACCTAGAGACCATGGTTTCGGGCTGATGGCCCTCGTCAGTCTAGGGCGGACTTTATTCCATGAGATCCACACGGGATCTAATGGAATCCTCACAATCTACCAAAGAGGTG